ATATAATTATAATAAAGTTACAATAAATTAAGTTAATATATAATTATATATACAGTACCTAATTTATATATAATACTGTACAGACGATAGTAAACTCAACTTACTCGCCTAAACTCTCTGTAGCGTAGCGCTGGACGGCGGAAAGTAGTTCGGCTGATCATCCACTATTGGTCCAGATTCGATCAATCCTGTCGCGACACGAGTCGGTGATGACATTTTACGAGTCCCTTTTAGCGTCTTTATATGAATACTGTCGCAATTTTTTTGCCACGTTATAGGAATCTCCATTATAGGAACCCGCATTATAGGGGTCTACTGTACTGATAATGTTATATCTTCAAAGCATTTAGAACTGAAATAAAATTTTTGTGTAACCTGTACTGGTGAGGTAAATCTACATAAAGACTAATAGGGCTTGAGCTTAGGGCTCCAAGATACAACACAAAGTATGCAATTGTTAAGTAAGAAGTAGAACATAGTAGTCTGACAACTATTACTTAACAACTGGGTACTGTCTTGAACAGGACAACGCCCACTCTGTTTATTTCCTGGACCTCCAGATCACCTACACATTGAGATGCCTTTCTGCTCACATATACAGGAAACTCACCCACCTCTCCACCTTCATCCCAGCTGCATCCCATGATCCATTTACCTTCAAATTGGCAGCATTCAGATCATTAATATGGAGAGCCTTTTCCCATTCTTCAAGCAAACAGGAAAGAGAGAAGGAGCTACACACTATCACCCAGTACACCACTCAGCATAGCTACTTCCCACACAATATTAAAATTCTGATCCGCAATCTTTCCAACACTGCTTCCATCCAGCTGAATAAACCCTCGCAAAAAGAAACCAAATTCAAGACCATCTATAATAAGTCACTAACCACACTGTACAAAAAAATAGCATGAGGAAACAATTATCATTTGGCATTCCACAGAAGTCCAGCTATCTCCTCTCTACTCTGTAATGCCAAAGACCATCCCAACAAGGACCATCTCCCAGGCATCTACCACATCCCCATCATCGACCATTGATACAATCGCCACCTGCAATACATAGGTGCTACATCTCACCCATTACAGGTCCATCTCAAGGAACATCAAGCATCTGTCAAAAAAGGATTAAACAATACGGCTTTGGCCACATACACATTCATTTCTGGCATCCAAGTGGATTTCCAAGAGACACCCCTACTACACTATGAATTCAAACCACATGTGCTGAAACATCTAGAACAGGTGGAAATTTACAAGGCCACCCACCATAACACAGCTATAAATTTTCAAGATGTTGACTGCTTCCCTTCTGCATGGAAGTCATTCTACAAACTGTAAACCCCCTTCCCCTCTCTTTACATCACACACCCCACCCCTTCACACGTGTTCGGCAATCTCTGGTGTTTTTTGCAGCAGTTTGCTTGCCTGATGATACCCATTTAACACAAGCAAAAACATTCACATTTCATGTTTAATTTTTTTGCTGGTATCTTAGATGTTTGTAGAGTTCATTTTTATAGAACATAATAGTATAAAATAGTAACAATTTAGAAATTTCTTGTTAAAGTTTAAAAAAAATTTATAATATTGCCACTGGCAAGCACATAACTTTCTTGTATTTAGATAAATGAACATAAATTCATGAAAAAGCCTAAGATTTTCATAAAACACAGCTTATTGTAATCTATTTTATGATGGGCTCTTCGGAAAATTTTTTAAACAAGGTCAAGGAGAGATCAGTCAGCATGACCTGGCTAAAACTGCTTAAATATTTAGGCACAAGCTATGAAGGATAAAATTTTTCTTTAATTTATCATTTGAAAATTTTAAAAAAGGGGTCCAAAATCTGTAGCTCAAAGCTCTCAGAAAGTTAGATCTGCCCTAGACACTGACACAGGTTTACAAAAGATTTTTATTTCAGTTCCAACAATTTTTTAAAATAATAGGATATTTGTATGAAAATACAGTGGTTACAATCATCATCAGCTTTTGGAATATAAAATTTAAATAGAATTCAAATTAAGAAATTTATTTTTTGTACAAAATTTTATAATAAAATTTTCAAATTTCTCTCATTTAGGGGAATTTTAGAGTTGTTCCAAGAGAATACAAGAAATCTTTATTTAAAAAATCCATTTATAACATAGAGCTTTCGAAGAATAGTCATAAAAATGATTACTTGTTTGAGATGAGTGATGAAATTTTGGATAAAAATATTCATTTAAATCTTTCAGGTATGATTGAGTAATTTATATTATCATTTGCTATTATTGTAATTATTATTACTAATAATACTTTATTTTTTTTAGGTGAAGATGTACAATATTTTGATCTTTTATACAAGAATGATAAAATAATAATAGTTCTCAATGAGGATTTTCCTGTAGAAAGAGANACTCTTATATTTCTGATAGGCAATATATGGCTCCTGTCATGTTAAGGTTTGGCCAGTCCTGTTATATACTTTTGTATTGAAGCTTTGAGAAATTACTATTATACTAGTTCATAGCAAAATAATTCTGTTATATTTTGAGTCTACCTCAGGAAGTGAATGAATACCTTGATTATGAATTACATAATTTAACCATAGAATTGCCATAGTATCTTAATAATGATAATTTTAAGTTTGCAAAAAGATATTAAATTTAAATTCATAATTAATTAATATTAAAATTTAATAATATATTGCAGATGAGAATGAATTTTTTAGAATTAATAACACAACTGGTGAAATTTCATTAAAATCTAAGCTTGATAAATGTCAAAGGTATGAGCTTAAAGTATTTGGTTATGTTGAAAATCCTCCAAGGAATGACAGTACTGAGGTAAGTTAGATGAGGTAAATTAGATGATTTAACCTCAGTACCGAACATTATTATTTTTAAAGAAAATCAATTTTTTAAATAAAATTTATTGCATTCAATATTTTATATTACTTTAATATTAACTTTAATATTCGTAAATTAAATTAAATTTAATTTATGAATATTAAAGTTTAAAGTGACTAAATGTAAAATTTTAGAAGTGATATTATTAATTTTTTTTAATGAAATATGTTTATATTGTAACATGTTGGCAACATGAGTTGATGTTTGTTATTTTTACAGTTTTGTTTTTGAGTGAAGAAAGTTTTGTTGTGTTTTCTTTCTATATATTTTTTCTATATTTTCATCTTGTAACACGATAACAACATTCAACTCTGTTGTTTGACTTTTGAACATTTAACTTTCAAACTCATTTTTTGGAATGCATTAAGTTCAAAAGACAGGACTACCTGTAGTTAGATTTCTCGATAAAAATAATTAATTTCAAAAAAGAGTGTTTCAGTTAAAAACAAATAGCATAATCTTTATATATAATTTTTTTATGATTGAATGTTTTCTCTTCAATATATGTACACTGATGTTCAAAATTAAAGCAACAAACACAAAACCTGTGTACAATCAACACCCTGAAACATAAGTAAATCAGCAAAGTTCCATCCTATCATGCAAGTGTCATGCAGGTGACACACAAAAACAGTGCATTCGTATGATAAAATATAATATGCTATATATATAGCCAAAGTGTTTCTGACAAACAATCGCCTGCTAGAACAGCTAACAGTAAGGAAGTGTTTCTGATATGTCAATAGCTTATCAGACATGCCTCAGAAAAGGCATTTGGATGATTCACTGTGATGGAGGGTCATACATTTCTTTGTTTTTGCTATGTGCATTTGTATGTTGCTTTAATTTTGGACACAATTGATATATTCAAGAACTTTGATTTTTCAATTTTTGGCTTTTACCTACGGGCATTGAGGACTTTTTTCCCTTACCCATTGTGGGTTTGGCCAGGTCCACAATAGGGATGATTGATAGTGAGAAATGAATCCAAACATATCCAGAACAGACCTATGAAAAATTCTTGAGGTTGCTCATTAGGATTCAGTCCTGAACCTTCCTTAATGGTAGGCCATCTGGCCATCAAGAACTTCATTAATGATTAGTTTATAGGAATTAATATTTTACTTACCTAATCTACTTTTAAAAATAATTTACATCTTCATTTTTGATAGTTTATTATTTATTTATGTCAAAAGATTTTTCATATATAATTAATAAAATAATATTTCAGCAGTTTAATTTGAGTATAATTTTTTTTATACTATACAAAACAAAGGAACAAAGGACTATCTGGAAGTTAGCAAAAATAAACTATTTTTTTTTTTGGCAGTAAGAGAAATACATTTATTAAAGTAATTGATAATTTATTTCCAATCAATAATTAACTAACAAGCATAATTAAAAGTACTGTTAATATTAATTTTAGATAAATTAGGACAGCATTTTCTTTTTTCATAGTATCATCGTCATCTAAGTCTTTTTGTTGATCTTGATCAGAAGTATTGGCAACTTCGTTTTTTTATTTTTATCATAATTTTCTATGAATTACAAAATAAAAATAATTGATAATTTGTTCTAGTGGGTCGCATTTGTTCAGTCAAGTACTGAGTGACTTTTTTCCAAAATTTGTGTTCGAATATCAAATTGTTCCAGTTTAGAACCGTTCAAGTACTGAAATATTGCTGTATTTCATTTGCATTTTTAGGAAGGAAGTAATCATTTGTAGGTTTGTAATACCTATGGTTAAAATAAAGTTTAATAACACTTACCTAAAAATGTTTAAAAAATCTTTACTAAATAGTCTTAAAGGCTAAAATCTGAAAGTACTGACAATGACACCTGGATGATAGGAAAGCTAAGACAAGAAAGAAAAGAAATTACATCATCAGTTTTCATTAAAGTAAACCTGACAAAAGGCACAAAATAAATTGAAAATTTCAATATTCAAAAATTGGTGTGCAAATTTGAGACAACACACATGCTTTCTTGAAGGAAAAAATATATAAAATGATGGAGTTTTATAAACACCATCATTTGATCTCTTTTTTTTTAGGATAAGGATTTCCAAAACTGTTTTAGAGTGAAACTGAAAGTTGTGTTTTATAGGGGATATCCCCAATTTTCAAACAGTGTTGTAGAAGTACAGTGTTGTATGAGGGATACCTGTATTTTAATATAAAACTTTGCAATGCATTTTGATTAATCATGATTAATGTATAATTTATCTTATATATCCATAATGGCCATACTATGGCTTGCAAGCTGCATGCAGCTCTTCTAAATCTTTAATGTGAATACATATCTATTATATAAAATACAATTTAAATAGAGAATGAAACTCTTATATTTCTGATAGGCAATATATGGCTCCTGTCATGTTAAGGTTTGGCCAGTCCTGTTATATACTTTTGTATTGAAGCTTTGAGAAATTACTATTATACTAGTTCATAGCAAAATAATTCTGTTATATTTTGAGTCTACCTCAGGAAGTGAATGAATACCTTGATTATGAATTACATAATTTAACCATAGAATTGCCATAGTATCTTAATAATGATAATTTTAAGTTTGCAANGAAATATTCTTGAAAAGTAGATTTTGTTTTTAGTGAGAAAGATTGTATTGGTTAATATTCAAAATTGTCACTTCAGCAATTTAACAAGTAATTTCCTAAATTTAAAAATTTCTTATATTAAAATATTTTAAACTTTTATTCTAAGTGTAGAGCAGATTTTACAAAAGCCGCATAAAAAAATTAATTCCTATGTATAGAGAATGTTGAGAAAGTCCTTCTTTAGCATGTATATCTAAGAATGAATCATTGTTTGATGGCATTTCTTTGAGGTTGAGAAAGCTTGAAAAAATTTTCTTAGCAAACGATATGAATTTTTTGTTAATACTGTATTGTAGAAATAAGTTTTTGGTAAATAATAATGAATTTATTTTTTTGATGATGCATAATTTTAAATAGCTAAATTTGTCTTACTTTCTAAAATAGTTTCTAAAGATATAATTTCCAAATTCTATATATTAGTCAATACAAAACTTTTTAAAATTTCATTTAAAGTTTTAATATTTTCAGATAAGTTGGATAAGTTTGAAATTGATGAATCTGGTAAACTTAAGATAGTTAAAAAGTTACCTAAAGGTCAACATTTTTTGAAATTACAACAACAAGATAAACATTATGCTAAAAGCAGTCAGAATGTCAGTAAGTATTTTTATTATTACATAGGTTTATATAAATGTTATTATTAACACTGTTCACTTTTCAGAAATAAAAGATGTTGGTAATAATGAAGCTCTTATTGTGATACAGTTTGGAAAACCTGAAATAATAGAAGAAAAGAAGAAAGTGGTCTTTTTACATTCTACTCCATTCTATAAATTTTTTCTTCCTAATGCACCACTAAGTGACTACAATTTTGAAATAAAGGTTAAATTAAATTATTTGATTTTGATAATTATTTGCTACTTTAATTATTTTAATAAATTAATAAATCTGTTTTGCAAACTTTAATAAAATACTATTATATAAAACATTATTTTATCAAAGTTTGCAAATAAAAACGTTAATTAAATTTCAGTATCTATAATGTAATTTATTTGTGAAATGTGATCATGAAGATGATAGTAATTATGTATTGAATTTATCTCAATTTTTACTTATTGTACAGATTGTACTTTTTTTTATTGTATATTGTGTTTTCTTCACACTACAAATATCAAATTTATATCTGTATAACTGGAAATTCAATTTAGCATTAAAAAATTATATTCAACATATAAGAAAAGTTTCAAATAATGTATATCTTTATTATTTATTTAAGGTTATTAGTGATGGCGGTGTTGATGAACAAATCAGGATTAAAAACAATAGTGATATATTTAGTATTGATCCAGTCAATAATGAAATTTTTCCATTAAAAGATATTTCAATACTAGAAAACTTTCAAACAGTTTTAACAGTAGAAGCTATAAATTTTGTTGATGAAAAATTAGACATTTATGTGAGTACAAATTCAGTAAAATTATATTAAAAATTACAATAAGTGAAAGAGAAAAATTTAATTTAATTAATTTTAACAGATATATCAGCTCCACGAAGAGAATTGTTTAAATATTTCTATTTCAACAAACATTTCAGTACTACTGAGTAAATCTCAAATAGAAAGGTATTCATTTGAAATAAAAATTAATTTGTAATTTTTAATGTTAAGAAAAGTTGTGCATTAGAAAAGTCCCTCTTTAATATGCTTATATAAGAATGAGTTGTAGTTTGAGGCCATAATTAATTTTTTTTTTATTTTTGGAAACAAAGGAATTCAAGAATATTTTTATTTTGATTTTTACTTTGTTTTTAAATCTATTCATTATGTATGCTTTAAGCTTGTCAGTTTACAGTAGTTTAGACACAAATATAAAAAAAGGGCATTTAAGATTTTAAAAAAATTAAGAATTAAATAATAAACCTTGTAAGGAAAGATGGCTTTCCTCAATGTAAAAAAAACTGACTTTTAAAAGTTTCAAAACATCTCTCTCTCTCTTTTTTCCAGCAAATTCTTTAATTAAATCAAATAAACTAACATAAAATGGTTAAGCATAGGCCTAAATAAAATCCATTTATGCTTAACCCGAAGAATGCTATTTAAGATAGCCAAAAACGTTAGTTTATTTGACTTAATTAAAGATTTTGCTAGAAGAAAAGAGAGAAAAGTGTTTTGAAACTTATATACAGAAGTTCTAGCTTACTGTGCATAGAACTGACTTTTAATTTAATTATTTTATGCAATATTACCATTACATTTTTGTACTAAGAATGATTAATTTTCTTGTAAAGAATTANGTAATTTTTAAAATTATATTTAAATATTTTTAAATGTGGAATTTTTACAGTATATATTTAAAAAATTTATTATGACTTCTTAATTCTTACTTTTTAAAAAATGCTTTGTGGAAGAGCCCAGGAACATGACTGATTTTCCTACGTAGGAACATTAATAAAGATATTCTTGGAAATATGATCAGCAAAATACCAATATGGAAATAATAGTACCAATATGGCAGAGATAGGCAAACTTATTTTCTTGTGTTGATAATTCTGATACAGTAAATCTTAGATATTATCTATGTACTTAATAGTATTTTGGTTGTTTTATTTCATGCCCAAATTACTGGTCTTTCTTTGTCATTTTCATGTGAGAGTCTTCAATGGACTCAGTTATATTAGTTTGTTGAATATTTTTTCATCATGAAAAATCTTTGCTCAGTTTTGTTTTCCTTCTCAGCCATTTCCATTGCCTGATCAAAGGATTTGGGATTGTTTTTTAATATCTTTCTATGTAAGATAGGGCTCATACCTCTTGTAAACTGATCAAGAAGATATTCACAACTGTGTTCGAAATTCAGGTTAGTTTTGATAAGCACATTAACTACCTCACTAAGTGAATACAAACATCCCACAAGTTCTTTCATTCATTTAATAGCAGCACCAAATCTTAAAGTCTTACCACTAAAGTAGTGTATACAAACTTTTTTAATATACACTCTTTTACTTTATCATACTCAGGATTTACTCTCGGAGGAGCTGAGTTGAATGATAAACTTTTCAATGTGAATTCAATGAAATTCCTACCTTAAGTGACCACTAATTCATAAGTAGTATAGAAATAGAAGACAACACAGAATATAAATAAAAAATGAATCTTAATTAGAAAAAGATTTTTGGAGAATTTTCTACTGTTTGTTTTCCTTTTTATTTGGAGGGGCCAAGAGGCCTTGGCCCTCCTGGATTCACCACTGTTATCGTATCTATCCTGTATATGCTGTGAGTTGTATCTACTAGAGGGACTTCTTCAACATTCTCCATATTTAAAATAATAAATACAATTATCAGATATAATAATAAATATACAAGTTTTTAAACTATTTGAATTTTCAATGAATTAGAGAAATATTCTTGAAAAGTAGATTTTGTTTTTAGTGAGAAAGATTGTATTGGTTAATATTCAAAATTGTCACTTCAGCAATTTAACAAGTAATTTCCTAAATTTAAAAATTTCTTATATTAAAATATTTTAAACTTTTATTCTAAGTGTAGAGCAGATTTTACAAAAGCCGCATAAAAAAATTAATTCCTATGTATAGAGAATGTTGAGAAAGTCCTTCTTTAGCATGTATATCTAAGAATGAATCATTGTTTGATGGCATTTCTTTGAGGTTGAGAAAGCTTGAAAAAATTTTCTTAGCAAACGATATGAATTTTTTGTTAATACTGTATTGTAGAAATAAGTTTTTGGTAAATAATAATGAATTTATTTTTTTGATGATGCATAATTTTAAATAGCTAAATTTGTCTTACTTTCTAAAATAGTTTCTAAAGATATAATTTCCAAATTCTATATATTAGTCAATACAAAACTTTTTAAAATTTCATTTAAAGTTTTAATATTTTCAGATAAGTTGGATAAGTTTGAAATTGATGAATCTGGTAAACTTAAGATAGTTAAAAAGTTACCTAAAGGTCAACATTTTTTGAAATTACAACAACAAGATAAACATTATGCTAAAAGCAGTCAGAATGTCAGTAAGTATTTTTATTATTACATAGGTTTATATAAATGTTATTATTAACACTGTTCACTTTTCAGAAATAAAAGATGTTGGTAATAATGAAGCTCTTATTGTGATACAGTTTGGAAAACCTGAAATAATAGAAGAAAAGAAGAAAGTGGTCTTTTTACATTCTACTCCATTCTATAAATTTTTTCTTCCTAATGCACCACTAAGTGACTACAATTTTGAAATAAAGGTTAAATTAAATTATTTGATTTTGATAATTATTTGCTACTTTAATTATTTTAATAAATTAATAAATCTGTTTTGCAAACTTTAATAAAATACTATTATATAAAACATTATTTTATCAAAGTTTGCAAATAAAAACGTTAATTAAATTTCAGTATCTATAATGTAATTTATTTGTGAAATGTGATCATGAAGATGATAGTAATTATGTATTGAATTTATCTCAATTTTTACTTATTGTACAGATTGTACTTTTTTTTATTGTATATTGTGTTTTCTTCACACTACAAATATCAAATTTATATCTGTATAACTGGAAATTCAATTTAGCATTAAAAAATTATATTCAACATATAAGAAAAGTTTCAAATAATGTATATCTTTATTATTTATTTAAGGTTATTAGTGATGGCGGTGTTGATGAACAAATCAGGATTAAAAACAATAGTGATATATTTAGTATTGATCCAGTCAATAATGAAATTTTTCCATTAAAAGATATTTCAATACTAGAAAACTTTCAAACAGTTTTAACAGTAGAAGCTATAAATTTTGTTGATGAAAAATTAGACATTTATGTGAGTACAAATTCAGTAAAATTATATTAAAAATTACAATAAGTGAAAGAGAAAAATTTAATTTAATTAATTTTAACAGATATATCAGCTCCACGAAGAGAATTGTTTAAATATTTCTATTTCAACAAACATTTCAGTACTACTGAGTAAATCTCAAATAGAAAGGTATTCATTTGAAATAAAAATTAATTTGTAATTTTTAATGTTAAGAAAAGTTGTGCATTAGAAAAGTCCCTCTTTAATATGCTTATATAAGAATGAGTTGTAGTTTGAGGCCATAATTAATTTTTTTTTTATTTTTGGAAACAAAGGAATTCAAGAATATTTTTATTTTGATTTTTACTTTGTTTTTAAATCTATTCATTATGTATGCTTTAAGCTTGTCAGTTTACAGTAGTTTAGACACAAATATAAAAAAAGGGCATTTAAGATTTTAAAAAAATTAAGAATTAANTTATATATATATATTTTTTTTAATTAGAAACATAACAGGAATTTTACAGCAGCAAAATAATTACCAAGAAATGTCTTTTCATATTTTAAAATATTACTTGAAAGATTCAAATAATAATATGAAAAAGTAAGTTAATTCAAAAAAATATAAGATTAAGTTGATATATTTAAAGAATTTACATATTTAATCTAATTTATAATTTATATTCCTAATATTTACAGTTATGAAATAATTTCAACAATACTACATAATAAAACTCTTCTAACTTACAAAGAAATGAAAGATAAGTAAGTGAACTAAACAATAATAATTTATACTTAGCTAGATGCTTCTTAACTTTCACAACACTATGTCATCCCACTAAGAATTATTTATTAACTGTAGAACATTTCCAACTTGTTCTAGAGGCCATCTTCAGGATTTTAAAAATCGTGGAACATTGATAACTGTTCTTTTTGTATAGAACAGTTAAGACACACTAATACACTCACCAACGTTAGCAATGAATTCGGAAAAAGTTGAAATAGAAGTATCCTTATGGGCAGATGTGTAAACAATAAGGATGCCACAGTATTACCCACAACATGGAAATATATGGTCAAAAAGAACTTATTAGAGAATAGTGCATAGTGTCCATACAATCAAAAACTGATATTGTAAATGTAATTTATTGTTTTCTTTATTTTTCTTTTTTTCTTTTCTATCTTTATTTTGTTATTTTAAATTGTATATATATTACTGTAATTTATTCTTTGAATTCAAATAGTTTGATATTCCAAAGAATTTTGTATTGTAAATGTGTTATTAACTGTTCTATACAAAAAGAACAGTTATCAACATTCCGTGATTTTTATAAATCTGAAGATGGCCTGTAGAACAAATTGAAAATGTTTGTTACAGTTAATAAATAATTCACGGTGGGATAAAGTGTTGTTGTGGAAGTTAATAATTTAAACATTTAATTTTTCTGTTTATTTGCTGAAAATATCATTTTCAAAATATTTAAAAATAAAAATGTAATAATATATTGTAATTTTCTTGATTTAGATTTACAGATGTTCAACAACAAATTCAAAATAGTTTTGGATCATTTAAACTCACTTCCTTTTTAAAAGAAATTAGAGACAAGGATGAAAATGGAAACCACTATCATTTTATGATGATTATATTTGGGTCCCTGGCAGCATTTTTACTTATAATTATTATAATATCCTTCATTTTCTCTAGACTCAAGTAAATATATTTGTTTTTATTATGTCATTTTTTATCATTATTATTATTGCAGTAATTATTTAGAAATTAATATTAAACAAAATTAAGTTTTTTATTTATAATAATAAACTTTATTTAATATAAATTCCATTATAATTTAATTTATATTAAATAAAAAAAACTCTTCAGAATTATTTCAGTGTTGATAAATTTCTTATTTTGAAAATGGAATAAAGACATCTTGTCATAAAATATGTATATCTATTGATTAAAATCCTAGTAACCATGGTATTATTAAATTCATTTCTGAATTTTTTCAAATAAATTTTTTAATAAAAATGAACATTAAATACTACAGTATAACTTATATCTTACAAAAATTAAAAGTATTTTTAAGACATCTTAATCTTTTTGTTGGTTAATAACTCAATAACTGGGATCTGTATTTAGAAAACATAGATTTATTCAGAGATCAAATTGGTAAACCCAAGATTGGTACATCCAATGCCTTTGAATGTACAGTACCTATCTACCTAGCTCAATCTACCCAACATTCAATGGTGTTGTACTTAGGGTAACAAAGGGAAAAGAGGTCTAATACAAAAGGGGTCTCATTTACAGATATATGAACAAAGGGCTTGCATAGCTCCACTTGGCAATGACAAGATTTGAATCTCAATACCCTCTCTCAAACTGAAGTTGTCATTCTCATCAGGCAATTCAATTCACAGCAACAGAAATTGTGCTTTTCCTGGTTAAAGCTTTTATAAAGACATTTGCCAACATTTCACTCATTTGTAGGTATTCGATGGTCAATTTTCTATAAAGGGTATGACAAATAAAATGATGCCTTACATCAATGTGTTTGGCCTGCGCATGCTATGTATGGTTTTTTGCCAGATGAGCATCCTGGCTATCACAATTTATGGTTATTGAGGTCATGAAGGATTCTTCAAAAGTGTATAGCTTCCATTGAACCTTCTGTCAATGCCATATATTCATCTTCTACACTCAAGAATGCAATGGTGTGCTGTTTGCACGCTTCCCATGATATTGCAGTCCCTCCAAGCTTAAATACATATCCAGTATAGGATCTTTTATCTATGATGCAGTTCCTTTCAAATAGCATAGGATATGCTTAGCAGCTCTCCAGTATTTTTCACTGTAGCAATTATTAAACTGACTAAGTGTACCTACCAGTGGCGTGCCGTCATTAGAAGCGTTGGAAGCGCCGCTTCCCTCGTATTCTCTAAAAAATAAATAAATATTAATTTTAATTATATGAAAATAATCACACAATATTTTATTATAACCGCATTATGTATCTTATTACAAATTTCTATACTACACGTGGAAAAAACCAAAAAAAAAAATTGCTATTGTATATTAGAATATTAGTGGCAGAGTGTAATCTCCTGTATTTTCAGATTACGAAAAGCCAGATTTGCGCATGCGCTTTACAGAACACCAACCTCACCCGGTTTAGCCGGTGGAAGCCTACGACCTTGGGTGAAAGCTGCACACATATAAAGATTACAATTCTATCAAGGACCGGTTCTGGG